TTTTTGTAAACATCCGAGTGTAAGTTTTTACGTTCAATTTCTATATCTGATTAGCACCTTAAATTTTATCAATTAATACATCAAAACCAAACCATTAATATTCATGACTATTTATTTTTTAAGCTGCTATTATCAAGTGAATTGTTTTTCTTTTCTTTTTTTCCTACCTTTTATTATTAGCAACAAATAAATTCCGCCGCAACAATATAAGATTTTCAGTATACGTTTACGTTTGTGAACACTAAAAAATAATTCTCTGGTTATTTTATTTTCTTACTCTAATTTTCCGACTGTCAGAACTTAAACATAAAAAACTCCATATATACATTTGAACAATAATATATAAGATTAAATATTTATACAAAAAGAATATGATAAATCTTAGGGGACATTTAGGATTTCATTTTGTGAAATTTATTTCACGTTTGATTTGTGGAGAATAACTCATCAATTCTTGGATAGTTGGATTTAGTATATGAAACTCATTAATGGGCAGCATTTAAAAACATGTTTGCTGGTTAGCTAAGCCAAGCCACAAAGAATACAGATATGGAATAGTTACGACACTTAATTAGAATGCTAATTAGATATTAATAAATAAATATAGTGTGAAAAGAATTATAAAGGATAATTGATCTCATTCATCCAAGATTTATGTATCACCAATAACTTAACTAATTAACCTGAAAAGCTTTCTTCATTATATTGTGAATCAATTGTTTGTATTATGTTCGGATCCCTATAAGAAGAGGCAAATTCTCATATGTCATCTCATCCTTGCATACATTGAGTACATTAATAATATTGCTAACAAGTTAATATGGAGAGCTACTTGCTACTAATTATATTGATTTTGACGGCTATAATTATCCCAAGAACTAGCTGTCAAGCACGTTATGATTTTATGGAGTATGCCACCAACATTCTGTGAGATGCAACTGTTGTCGAAGGAAAACTCCTTGCAAATCTGGTATTCCGGAACAGTCCTTTATCCATAGTCTTTGGCCATGCGACACGAGAGCAAGAAGCTTGACATGTCCATGTACACCTAGTCTCGAAAATAAGAAAGTAGAAAATGTGGTAAGTGCTTGAAATTAGGACGAGCTAGCCTGCATTATATATAAACTTCCAAAATCTTATAAATACTTTAATTTGTTATGCTTTGCACTTACAGTTGAAAAATGACAACAACTTAGAGACGGCTCTCCACAATGTTTGGCCTAATTTGGTAGCTGGCGGACAGGATAAAACTCCCACGGGTTATGTTCCAGCCCAACAGTGCAAGCTACAGATTATTTTAAAGCAGCGGCAACGGTACACGCAACGTTGATTGCGAAAACCCCGAACCAAATTCTAATTGACTACTTTGTTGCTGCTGGAATTAACCCTGATGGTCAGTATTGGTCAGCTAGCTATAGTCCAGCTGATCATTTGGAATAAATATTAATGCCTTAGTTAGTTTTTAAGTTGGTGTTTAGACGTAATAATGTTGTATTATCTCATACCATATCGATCGAGCCCAACTGATAAATAAAGACTTGTACTGAAAAAACTTCTTCCTTAATACATTGGTCTTTTTCTCTTTAGTGCCTTTGAAATCTAATTAATTGGGAATAAATATTAGTGCGTTAGTTTTTAAGATGGGGTTTAAATGTCTAATTAGCTTTAGAAAAATCAATCTTATCAATAATTAACAAACCATCAACCCCGACTAGTAGCTATAAATATATATATATA